TCCATAATTAGTACTTTCATTATTTATCATCTCGCGTTTAGAATCCTTCTTTCTAGCCCCTATCTTTTGGATCTGTGTCTGCTCTCTAGGCTTGGTCATGATCCGGTACCTTTATGCTCAGTCTATGTTCTTGCTGTTGGATTCCTGATCTACTCATGACTCCTTGTTTGAAACCCTGACCTCCTTACATCAAAGAGTGTTTGATTTTGTCAGTTTTGAGGCCAGTTCTGCTTCAGTTTGGTGTGCCTTGACTTTATCACTGTTGCTGCTGCCTCTGCTCTGCTGTCTGATTCCCATCCCCAAACCTGATTGCAGATTATTATTAACCACTGGCTATAGCTGTCTGAATTTGGCTGTGTATAAAAATCTGGAAACATACTGTCAGCCTTCAACAGGACATACCTAAGCAGTTCCATACCTGTCAATTAAAACTGGGTGAGTGCAGATGCACAAAGAGGCATCTAGTCCGTCAACATTAAATAAAACCAGCTTCTCTAGATTAAAACCCCTGGTCTTGGGTATTGCAAACTCATAATGTCAGCATACCAGGAGACGTGGCAGATCTCTGTTGCAAAAGGTCAGGGACCCGTTTCAGGAAAATGAATCCTTTATACACTTGAGTTCTATGACTTGTACTTTCCTAGCAATTCCTTCAATCTTCAGAAAATTAAAAATTGGAAGCATCTGGGCATAATCTACAGACTGAGCTTGTCCTTCAGGGTTTTCCCATTGCTTGTGGGTGTTCTTAGGAAGAGAGACCTCTTTACCTTTCTTCTTCCCAAACTTGGCCTTTTGCTCTCCTTTAGGTGAAATAATTTATTGTATTATTAAGAAAAAGCCTCAAAAATGAGAATCTTAAAAATACACCAAAACTTGCTTCAGATTTAATGACAGGAGCTGTTTTTCAGGCAGTCATCAATAGAATTACAGCCTTGAAAATGTATTTAATCAGCACAGTATTTTGAAAATATTATACCAACATGCCATTTGTGCTTCCTCTCCAATTTAAAACAAACGTATACATCTTCTGGTTACAAGGAATCATGGCAGCAGAATTTCAGAACACCTTTCACTGTAGGAAAAGCACTTCACTGAAAGGACAGCAAAGAAATAAAAGGCCAAATGTCCAGTTTTGAATAAATATATGGGCTTAATGCTTGCTTACTAGATAACCATGTCATCCCTGCTAACAGGAGGGTCCTCCCAAGTTCTTACCCTTTCAGGATGAATTTGGATATTATGTGATACTTGCAGACAAGGGCAAGGAAAGGGCACTGAGTTATATAAAGGGATATTCTTTCCTTACCCTACCATGGTACTGTATTTCTCTAAGCATATCCCCATCTCTTCCTCTCGACAAGAGAAACAGTTATTAGTTTGGAGCAGTAGCATGGTTTTAAAGTGAATTGTTCGATTATTCCTGTTTATCGCATTTTTGTGTCAGTTCAGAGTGTTTTGGTGCATGCAAATGGAGTTCCTTTGGAGGAAACTAAGCCAGAAGCCTTGTTCCAGTGGGCATAAAATTATCTGTGTCCTGTAATAGGGGTGTGACAGTCCAAATAAGTGACTGATCCTTCACATACCTTTGAAGACCACTTATGGTGGGGATGTAAAATCCGAAGTAAAACCCCAAATTATAGATTGTGTAGATGAAATGGCAACAACATTGCCTGCTTTCATCTGATTCTCTTGCACCAAATCACAGGCTGATGTAATAGCTTGCGGTCTTTAGCTGTGTTATCTTCTAGTGCTGTAAAAAACTCCAAGCTGAAGTGTTTGTCTCTTTTTAATGTTAAAATCTGAAATAGTCACAATCTAAACAGCCTACTTTTTGTAAAATAATACACAGAACTAAAAGCCCTTGGTGATTAGAGGAAAAGTGTTCTACAGTGTGTGAGCAACTCACAGCATGATGCATCTTCATTACAATAATGCAAAATTATGATAATTTATCATAAAATCTGCTGACAATAGGCATTAATCTCTTAGTAAAGCAAGTAGTAAACTCAATTCCCATGGCAATGCAATTCATTTTGTTCCTCTCCCTCTACTACACACATGGAAGACTGGTCATTGTCTGGGCAAACTAATTTCAGCCTTAACACTATTGGATTTTTGTGGGATTCTGGTGGAATGTCAAGTCAGTGGTAACCATGGCATTGGTAGCACATGTCTGTATTTCATCCAGAGCAGCGCTCATACTTGATGAGCACCTATCCTTTCATCTTCAATTTTAAAACAACATTACTAAAGGAAAGAATATGAGTTCTTTCAGAAGTAGTTCTCAGTAATACATTTGTCTGCTGGAAGTATTTTTTTTTCCCTTAAAAAGAAAAAAAAAGGTAGAATTGCTTGATGTCTTCAGAAATGTGGACAAATGTTTGTGTAATGAACTGCATGTTGTTTATTCCTTATTTTTGTGTAGTTGTATCTTTTTGTGTGTATGCATGTATGTGTGTGTATTTATATATATATAGTAGAGATAAATTATTTGGTCAAGCAAACCTCCTCTGGGGAAAGGTTATGTTCTCCCATAATCATACGGTGTCTTGTTAATGAAACTTAATACTTTTTACTTAAGCAGTTACATTTTGGAGGCTAATAAAATAGCATGTTGTTTCTCCTTGTTGTTTCTTCTGTTGTTTTTTGTTTAAGTCCACACAACTTCTCTGTATTTCCACAAGTTTCCATCAGCCTTAAAAGCCATGAGTTATTTTATAAATTTCCAGCCTACCATGCATTTGCTCCACCTCAGAACAAACCAACAGTTTCAGTTATTGCAAAGCAAACCATGTATAACCAAATATATGTGCTTTCAGCTTTAAGAGCATGGCAAGTTGGCTGACTCCAATATAACAAATAGCTTCTGTGCTGTCAATTAACAGCCCTGAGAATAAGTTTTTTTTCTTTTATTGATTGAGTCATAGCTGTTTGCATATTCTGGACAATTGAGTCCTATTATGCAGATAACTTACAAATACTAAAGTAAAAGAGAAAAATTCAACCTGCAAAATGTCTTTGCTTCATGTGAAATTGTCCGAAGATAATGCTGACAGATGCTCTTTTAGTAAAGACCTGAATTCTGCTGACAAAGAGAGGTGGAATGAGTCTGGCAACTGTAAATTAATTTTTAAAGGCAACCAGTAACAACTTAAAATCTCCACCGCAAAATAAAAGATCCTGTTAAATGCAATTTCAAACTTGGTTTCATACCTGAGATTTTTGCTGCACAGAGCAAGCAGAGCTTGGCCTAAGCTGCAGCAGGCAGTTATGCCTTGGTCATTGCAAGCCTTCTGATTCTGGAACTGTTTGCGATGGGTTTGGTTTAGGTGTATTTTGTATGCCTAGTATGAAAGTGGCACCATATACAACTTTTTAACTTCAGATTTTATTTTAAGCTATGTATAACCTTGAAGTTTTGAAGCATTTAGAACTGTAGTCTTGCTTTAGGTTTAATTGTAAAATATGGATAACTTACAGTCACATTCTCTCAATAACTCAGTAAACTATCCAAGCAATGCTGTTGCTTGATGCAGGTACTACTATGCTGATAGCTGGTAAGCTCATGCATTTCCAGAAGTTTGACACAAGATGTTAGCAAGATGAGGCAAGAGGGGTAGTTACAGAGTGGAAAAAATGGGAGAGTAGGTGTCCTGGGTTCAGCTGTAGCAGTCATTTTTTCTCCTTCTTAGTAGCTGGTTCAGCTTTGTGTTTTGACTTTCGGCCTGGGATCGGAGTTGATAACGCTGATGTTTTAGTCTGACCAAGGACTTTGTGAGCCTCATGCTCTGCCAGGGAGGAGGGAGAGCCAGGAGGAAGCAGAGACAGGACACCTGACCCAAACTGACCAAAGAGGCATTACATACCACAGCACATCATGCTCAGGATGTAACTGAGAGTTACCCAGAAGGGCTGCAGGGTTGGATGAGGTATGGGTTCGTGCTTGGTCAGGCTGGGGGGGTGAGTTATCGGTTGGCTGGTGGTGAGGTGTATTCTCTTCCCTTATTATTTCCCTTATTATTATTATTATTGGTGGCAGCAGCAGTGATTTGTGTTATACCTTAGTTACTAAACTGTTCTTATGTCAACCCGTGGGAGTTGCATTCTTTTCAATTCTCCTCTCTGTCCCTCTGGGAGTAGGGGGAGGGAAAGAAAGGGGGGAGTAAACGAGCTGCCTGACTGGTTTTAAACCACGACAGTAGGCAAGAGGGGTACCTATGGAGGGGTGGCCTAGCCAGTGGCCACCCAGTTTCCCCAGTGGGTTCCTAATGCCCCTGCCCCCTACTATCCCAGGTCTTACACCATTAGGAGCCCTTTGGTCTCTGCCCTGTCCCTACTGGAAGACACTCCTTGTTAGAGGTCCTTGCGTTAGAGGTCCTTGCACATCTCCCCAGGAAGCTGTGAGAAAGGTGAAACCTTCAACCCTGACAGTCTGGAGGCCCAAATGCTTCTTGAATCCCCCAACATTTATAGACATTCCATGTCTCACCTAGGTAAACACCAGAGGAATGGCCCCCAGAATGCTACTACATTCACCAGTTATGTACTTCATCCCAGGGAGAACCCATATACACATAGAAAAGCACCAGTCAGAGATTTTACTGTTAAATACTTTAGGTTGTGGAAGGGTAGAGAATATATTTGAGTCTAAACAAATTAGAGATAAGCACCTGATAGATATGTTTTAGGGTAGATATTTTATAACGATAAAAGTTTTTATAAATTTTCCTTGGTTTCTGAGTTGACAGCTTTCATGAATATATGTAAACTATTTAATGAAAACCTCAGGCATCATTCTCTTGTTATTTTTCTTATTTGAAGCTGCCTCTATCTGGAATAAAATAACAGATATCAAAAGCTATGTATTCTGCTTTTCTCCATTTTAAAATAAGAAGGATAAAACTATTTTTATAAAGGATTAATATGTGATAGAGTTGCTCTTCTTAATCAATAATTAAAATATGCACAATATTATTAATCTTCTGTTTTTTGCTTCCCAGGTGATCAACATATAGTCTCAACAACCACGGCTAGGAAGTGCGATTAAGGTACCATAATTTCCCTTTTAATATGGGCATGCTTTGGGTGAAATTGATTTCCAAAATATTCTTCCCAATAATCCGTTTAGTAACCTGCATTCCTTGAGGCTGAGTTCACTTTGGGATTTTTTTATTTACCGCTTTGTTTCCTGCACTTCCTGAAAACTACAGATGTTTTTCCTTATATTCCATTTAGTTTTTTGTTTTTAAATTTAGTAACATTTTCAGATGTCTGCATAGACACTTATACTGGGAATAATGTTTGCATAATGTATTTGTGACAGAAAGTCATGTCTTTGAAATATTAACTCAGAAAATGTAGGGGAATTATAGAAAATCTGTTGATAGGAGGCTTTTGGAATTATGGCTGCTGTACGCTCCATGGCACTAAGAATTTGTTGATTTCAATCACAAGATGAAAATCAGCTCAGCAGCTCTGGTGTACCACAGGGAAAAGGTGGTTGGTTTTGTTGGAAATACAACTATCATGACCAGAGTTATCTCTCTTCAAGACATGTTTTCACTTGTAAATTGCTAACTGGGACTTCAAACAAGGAGTAGTGAGATAAGAGAAGGTAGAAATATGTTCTGTTCCTTTTTGTTGGCAGATTTCACTGAACTTGGATGGCAGTGTAAACAAAAATGAAAAAAGTATTTTCTTTCCTATGAAAAATGCAGAAAAAGTATGAACAGGGTAGCACATCTGTGCCACCAGCTTAAAAACAAACAATATTAGACAGTTGTTGTAAAATGACATGAACAAATTTTTGCCAAAGCAATTATCATGTCAGTATTTCCATTTCACTTCTAAATGCTCCACCATTGGTTTAATATTGCTGTTGAACTAGTAAGCTGTAAAATCATTCTGGAGTACTAAATGACTGGTTTCCCTTCAGCTGGGAGTTGATTCTAACTGAGGATGAGTAAAGGAGAGGAAAACTCATGTTTTTGTTAGCTACCACCTTTGTAGAAACTGCTTACTTTTCTGATTTTTCCTCTAGTCACCAGAAGTCTACTATCACATGTTAATTTGTTTATTAAGGTTAATTTCAGTATAGGAATAACGTAGTCTGACTGGTGAATACTCACATATCTGCAAAAAGAGCAAACAAGAAATCCTGAAAAGTACATGCAAATTAGGTCACTTCAACACCGTGTAATGTCTTAGGACAAGTTTTGAGAAAAGAGTAATGGAGAGCATCATCATAAGTGAAAAGTGTGATAAAATGCAAAATTCTGATCAGAACGTGATTTAGTCTGACAAGCCTAATGTTTCTTTTTGCTAAAATAGCGAACATCTCAGACTACAGTAACGCAGTGGGCTTAAGCCCTCTAGATTTATAGGAAGCTTTCATTCAGTGTAGTTCCCAAAGGAAGTTATTACTTAAAGTGGAGATGGTGCAGATTAATACAGGAATTATAAGAAGCTGTCTTAAGCAGATAAGGAGTTGAGAAAAGACGGGACTGTCAGAGGATGTACCGAGAGGTGAGTTACCAGATTGCAGGGGATTTATAGGAGGTATTCATAAGGGGCAGGTCTCGGGACCAGTCTTCTGTAATATTTCCTTTAGTAACCTTGGCACAAGGTCTTTGATACAGTTTTTTAAACCCTTGTAATACTGTTGAGGACAGAAGTACTATAGGGAAGAATTTTGTTGACTTTGTGGATTAGTATAACAAAGACAGGATGAAATGTAATAAGCACACTGCCTAGCTGGTTAGGGACTAATAGCTGGGGGGTAACTACAAATTAGGATTTCAGCATATGGAAGTTCGACTTAAAAGAAAAAAGTAGCGTTTGGTTGTAGCACAGAGCATAAGCTTTTGTAACCTACATAATTTTCATGAAAACCTGTTTACCAGAGCACTGCAATTTAACTAATTTAGAGCATAGGCATCCAAATTCTGGTAAAATTATATCTGAGATTTTAAATAACAAGTTCTGAACCTTATTCTGTTAAGTTTGAATCTGCTGCAGGTGTGAACATTAACCTTACCTTAGGAACAGAAAGTTGCAAGACTACCAATAAGTAGGTTACTGTAGCAGCTGAGGAACTGATCTTCGCATAACCAGCCCATTTGCCTCCTCCGCTCCAAAAGTCCCCAAACAAACCAAAAGCCTGGAAGCAAGCCAGTGCAGATCTCAGGCACTAAGTGAGCAGTCATGTTACTTTGAAGTAAGAAACCTCAACTAGGAGAGGTGCTGTAGCAGAAGCACAGCCACAGATACAAGGCTGAAGGCAGAGTAATAACTGTAATGAAGCAAGGGGAGGCCCAGGAGGTAGCCAACGTATGAAACTGTACGGTTTTGGCTATGGGAGGGAGGAGTGCAGCAATGCACTTACTGTGGGTCAGCTCAACCTGGTACAAAGGCAAACTGATGCATTCAGTGCTTGTCCCACCTCACAGAAGAATTGCAGTCAGAGCCAGCACATGGTGTGACAGCCCAGCTTCTTGAAGTGTGCCAAAATATACTGAGCATCAGCCTTACTTCCCACTGGTAGATGTGTGCTGACTGGGAGAGCTCAATGTCCTCAACATCAGCTTCTTTGAGGAATTCAGGAACACTGAAAGGTTCACTGACACACTACTGAAGCTAGTGAACTACAAAGCTACATCTTTTTGAAGAACCCTAAAACTATTGAGAAAGAGGAAAAAAAGAGAACATTTTAGCATTATTCCACCTCCAGAGTAGCAGCCTCAAAGTCATGCCAAAATGATGTCATGGTGGTAGAAAGGAGAAAATGAACCCAGAAATGGGCCCTCCCCAGTGAAATATGGGTAAGCTATACTCTATGGCTAACCCTCTGAGGACTAGTTATTAAAGCCAAAAAGGTGAGAAAGTGGTACTTCATTACTGTACACTTAAGAATTTGTGCTTCCATTAGATGAAAGGAACACTCTACAGATCAACAAAAAAATGATCAAAAAATCCGAACCCGGAGGTAGGACTTGATCAGTTTTCTGAGAGAATGATAGCAGTAGGGTCTCAAAAGAACCTGTGCTTAATCCTGTGATACTCAACTGATAACTGAACTGGAAAAGATGACAGGAGTGTGCTGGTGATGCTTTTATTCAGAGCACTGAAAATGAGTGCTGAGTGTAAAAAAACTGCAGAGGGATTTTGCAAAAAAAGTTCCTGGGCAAGGCAATGGCAGGTGAGATTCGCTGGAGGGAGGTGCTAAACGAAGACGAGAAAAATCCCACATATGAGGTAATGAATGCTGAGCTGAGTGTTGCCACTCACTGACCAAAATGTTGGGCATAGCTAGACCAGTAGAATATAAGAGATACTTTCCTAAGACTGTTAACTTTAGTTTTGAAAATGTTAACTTTAGTGTCGGTAATGGTTATAAAAGCAAGTAGTGTAAGGAAAGGTACAAAAAAATGCATGGATATATATGGATATTTTCTACCATGTGATATTTTTACATTTCTACCATGTAAACCTATGTCTCTCTTGCATCTTGAGTACTGTGCAGTTCTTTTTCTCCATCTCAGGTATAGCAGGAGCTAAGAAAATTTGGAGGATGGAAAGCATGACACAGGTATCTTCCAAGAAACTATTAAACTAGCATTCATTGGCATAGTGAAGAGATAGAGGTCTGAAAACACTCCCTGGGGCTGCTGAGACTGAGCAGGGACCCACTGGTTGTTCTCTTTTCCAGAGTCAGAGGCAGGAAGTGAAATTAGAGGATGGTGAATGCTCAGCAAATACAAAGGAAGGGTCTTCGTAGCAGGTGGTGAATATTGTGGAGTCTGAGTTACGTCAGGAGGTGGATGCTAGCATTTCACATAGGTGCAGATAACAAAAGGACAGCGTTATGGAAGAAAGTGTAGCAGGGCCTGAAAAGCATGAAGACTACTTTTTGTTCAGGCAGTGAGTGAACTGCAAGTGTCTGGGGGTCAGTTGGGAGTTGGGAAATTCTCCCATGGGACAGTTAGCTCTGTGCTTCATGGGCTACTACTGTCTGACAGGGACTGCTGAGTTTGACAGACTCTCCTGTGAAGGTCTGTTTATAGGTTGTTTTGGAGCTTAAACTGAGAGGACCAAGGGGCCACTATTGATGGCTGCTGAAAGGGATTTCGGGCTGTGCCTAGGAAGTAGGAACAAGGAAGTGTTTGCCCAGTTGTACAAGCCTCATTTAAACTATCATGGTTTGGTTACTTGCATCAAAATATGACCTATTTAAACTTGGGAGAGTTATAGAGGATGAGTATTTGCATTGTGTGCCTCCATACCTCCCTGTTATAGGACTGGTTGGGATTTACTTGATTTTGGAACAAAATGAAATGTCTACTTTTTAAAATACATTGAGGGTTCAGATATGAGTGAGGGAATAGAACATAATAATACAGATAGAAAATCAAGTGGACTTAAGTGTGTCTTGAATATGTTTAGACCGGAAATTAGAAAAAGACATGCTAACCAGAGACATGAGTGAAATTCTAGAAGGACTTTCCAGACATAGCTGTGGCACAAAACCACCTTTTTTTGTAGGTGAGGTTTATGGGAAGGATGAGATTACTGAGTGGAAGTGCACCTGCAGGTCTCAGTAACAACTTGCAATTCTGGGAGCTGGGTACCCAATCTGTGGGTGTATCACAGTATCACAGTATGCTAGAGATTGGAAGGGACCTCAGAAGATCATCTAGTCCAATCCCCCTGCCGGAGCAGGAACACCTACATAAGTTTACACAGGAACGTGTCCAGGCGGGTTTTGAATGTCTCCAGAGAAGGAGACTCCACAACCTCCCTGGGCAGCCTGTTCCAGTGTTCTGTCACCCTCACTGAGAAGAAGTTTCTTCTCAAGTTTAAGTGGAACCTCTTGTGTTCCAGTTTGTACCCATTACCCCTTGTCCTATCATTGTTTGCAACTGAGAAGAGCCTGGCTCCATCCTCGTGACACTCCCCCTTTATATATTTATATACAGTAATAAGGTCACCCCTCAATCTTCTCTTCTTCAAACTATAGAGACCCAGCTCCCTCAGTCTTTCCTCATAAGGGAGATGCTCCACTCCCTTAATCATCTTAGTTGCCCTGTGCTGGACTCTCTCCAGCAGGTCCTTGTCCTTCTTAAACTGAG